ATTTTAAAAAAGTCATAGTATTGTAAGGCATAAAAAGTCATAAAAAAGTCATAGTATAGTAAGGCAAAAAAAGTCATAGTATAGTAAGGCATAAAAAGTAAAAAAAAAAATCATAATATAGTAAGGAATAAAAAGTAAAAAAAAAAGTCAGAATAGTAAGGAATAAAAAGTCATAAAAAAGTCATAGTAAAGTAAGGCATAGAAAAAAAAAGTCATAGTAAAGTAAGGCATAGAAAAAAAAAGTCATAGTATAGTAAGGCATAAAAAGTCAAAAAAAAATCATAGTATAGTAAGGCATAAAAAAAAAGTCATAGTATAGTAAGGCACAAAAAAAAAGTCATAGTATAGTAAGGCATAAAAAGTAAAAAAAAACGTCATAGTATAGTAAGGCATAAAAAGTAAAAAAAAAGTATAGTAAGGCCTAAAAAGTAAAACAAAAAAAGTCATAGGATAGTAAGGCATAAAACATCATAGTATAGTAAGGCATAAAAAGTTAAAAAAAAAGTATAGTAAGGCCTAAAAAGTAAAACAAAAAAAGTCATAGGATAGTAAGGCATAAAACATCATAGTATAGTAAGGCATAAAAAGAAAAAAAAAAGTATAGTAAGGCCTAAAAAGTAAAACAAAAAAAGTCATAGGATAGTAAGGCATAAAACGTCATAGTATAGTAAGGCATAAAACGTCATAGTATAGTAAGGCATAAAACGTCATAGTATAGTAAGGCATAAAACGTCATAGTATAGTAAGGCATAAAACGTCATAGTATAGTAAGGCATAAAACGTCATAGTATAGTAAGGCATAAAACGTCATAGTATAGTAAGGCATAAAACGTCATAGTATAGTAAGGCATAAAACGTCATAGTATAGTAAGGCATAAAACGTCATAGTATAGTAAGGCATAAAACGTCATAGTATAGTAAGGCATAAAACGTCATAGTATAGTAAGGCATAAAACGTCATAGTATAGTAAGGCATAAAACGTCATAGTATAGTAAGGCATAAAACGTCATAGTATAGTAAGGCATAAAACGTCATAGTATAGTAAGGCATAAAACGTCATAGTATAGTAAGGCATAAAACGTCATAGTATAGTAAGGCATAAAACGTCATAGTATAGTAAGGCATAAAACGTCATAGTATAGTAAGGCATAAAACGTCATAGTATAGTAAGGCATAAAACGTCATAGTATAGTAAGGCATAAAACGTCATAGTATAGTAAGGCATAAAACGTCATAGTATAGTAAGGCATAAAACGTCATAGTATAGTAAGGCATAAAACGTCATAGTATAGTAAGGCATAAAACGTCATAGTATAGTAAGGCATAAAACGTCATAGTATAGTAAGGCATAAAACGTCATAGTATAGTAAGGCATAAAACGTCATAGTATAGTAAGGCATAAAACGTCATAGTATAGTAAGGCATAAAACGTCATAGTATAGTAAGGCATAAAACGTCATAGTATAGTAAGGCATAAAACGTCATAGTATAGTAAGGCATAAAACGTCATAGTATAGTAAGGCATAAAACGTCATAGTATAGTAAGGCATAAAACGTCATAGTATAGTAAGGCATAAAACGTCATAGTATAGTAAGGCATAAAACGTCATAGTATAGTAAGGCATAAAACGTCATAGTATAGTAAGGCATAAAACGTCATAGTATAGTAAGGCATAAAACGTCATAGTATAGTAAGGCATAAAACGTCATAGTATAGTAAGGCATAAAACGTCATAGTATAGTAAGGCATAAAACGTCATAGTATAGTAAGGCATAAAACGTCATAGTATAGTAAGGCATAAAACGTCATAGTATAGTAAGGCATAAAACGTCATAGTATAGTAAGGCATAAAACGTCATAGTATAGTAAGGCATAAAACGTCATAGTATAGTAAGGCATAAAACGTCATAGTATAGTAAGGCATAAAACGTCATAGTATAGTAAGGCATAAAACGTCATAGTATAGTAAGGCATAAAACGTCATAGTATAGTAAGGCATAAAACGTCATAGTATAGTAAGGCATAAAACGTCATAGTATAGTAAGGCATAAAACGTCATAGTATAGTAAGGCATAAAACGTCATAGTATAGTAAGGCATAAAACGTCATAGTATAGTAAGGCATAAAACGTCATAGTATAGTAAGGCATAAAACGTCATAGTATAGTAAGGCATAAAACGTCATAGTATAGTAAGGCATAAAACGTCATAGTATAGTAAGGCATAAAACGTCATAGTATAGTAAGGCATAAAACGTCATAGTATAGTAAGGCATAAAACGTCATAGTATAGTAAGGCATAAAACGTCATAGTATAGTAAGGCATAAAACGTCATAGTATAGTAAGGCATAAAACGTCATAGTATAGTAAGGCATAAAACGTCATAGTATAGTAAGGCATAAAACGTCATAGTATAGTAAGGCATAAAACGTCATAGTATAGTAAGGCATAAAACGTCATAGTATAGTAAGGCATAAAACGTCATAGTATAGTAAGGCATAAAACGTCATAGTATAGTAAGGCATAAAACGTCATAGTATAGTAAGGCATAAAACGTCATAGTATAGTAAGGCATAAAACGTCATAGTATAGTAAGGCATAAAACGTCATAGTATAGTAAGGCATAAAACGTCATAGTATAGTAAGGCATAAAACGTCATAGTATAGTAAGGCATAAAACGTCATAGTATAGTAAGGCATAAAACGTCATAGTATAGTAAGGCATAAAACGTCATAGTATAGTAAGGCATAAAACGTCATAGTATAGTAAGGCATAAAACGTCATAGTATAGTAAGGCATAAAACGTCATAGTATAGTAAGGCATAAAACGTCATAGTATAGTAAGGCATAAAACGTCATAGTATAGTAAGGCATAAAACGTCATAGTATAGTAAGGCATAAAACGTCATAGTATAGTAAGGCATAAAACGTCATAGTATAGTAAGGCATAAAACGTCATAGTATAGTAAGGCATAAAACGTCATAGTATAGTAAGGCATAAAACGTCATAGTATAGTAAGGCATAAAACGTCATAGTATAGTAAGGCATAAAACGTCATAGTATAGTAAGGCATAAAACGTCATAGTATAGTAAGGCATAAAACGTCATAGTATAGTAAGGCATAAAACGTCATAGTATAGTAAGGCATAAAACGTCATAGTATAGTAAGGCATAAAACGTCATAGTATAGTAAGGCATAAAACGTCATAGTATAGTAAGGCATAAAACGTCATAGTATAGTAAGGCATAAAACGTCATAGTATAGTAAGGCATAAAACGTCATAGTATAGTAAGGCATAAAACGTCATAGTATAGTAAGGCATAAAACGTCATAGTATAGTAAGGCATAAAACGTCATAGTATAGTAAGGCATAAAACGTCATAGTATAGTAAGGCATAAAACGTCATAGTATAGTAAGGCATAAAACGTCATAGTATAGTAAGGCATAAAACGTCATAGTATAGTAAGGCATAAAACGTCATAGTATAGTAAGGCATAAAACGTCATAGTATAGTAAGGCATAAAACGTCATAGTATAGTAAGGCATAAAACGTCATAGTATAGTAAGGCATAAAACGTCATAGTATAGTAAGGCATAAAACGTCATAGTATAGTAAGGCATAAAACGTCATAGTATAGTAAGGCATAAAACGTCATAGTATAGTAAGGCATAAAACGTCATAGTATAGTAAGGCATAAAACGTCATAGTATAGTAAGGCATAAAACGTCATAGTATAGTAAGGCATAAAACGTCATAGTATAGTAAGGCATAAAACGTCATAGTATAGTAAGGCATAAAACGTCATAGTATAGTAAGGCATAAAACGTCATAGTATAGTAAGGCATAAAACGTCATAGTATAGTAAGGCATAAAACGTCATAGTATAGTAAGGCATAAAACGTCATAGTATAGTAAGGCATAAAACGTCATAGTATAGTAAGGCATAAAACGTCATAGTATAGTAAGGCATAAAACGTCATAGTATAGTAAGGCATAAAACGTCATAGTATAGTAAGGCATAAAACGTCATAGTATAGTAAGGCATAAAACGTCATAGTATAGTAAGGCATAAAACGTCATAGTATAGTAAGGCATAAAACGTCATAGTATAGTAAGGCATAAAACGTCATAGTATAGTAAGGCATAAAACGTCATAGTATAGTAAGGCATAAAACGTCATAGTATAGTAAGGCATAAAACGTCATAGTATAGTAAGGCATAAAACGTCATAGTATAGTAAGGCATAAAACGTCATAGTATAGTAAGGCATAAAACGTCATAGTATAGTAAGGCATAAAACGTCATAGTATAGTAAGGCATAAAACGTCATAGTATAGTAAGGCATAAAACGTCATAGTATAGTAAGGCATAAAACGTCATAGTATAGTAAGGCATAAAACGTCATAGTATAGTAAGGCATAAAACGTCATAGTATAGTAAGGCATAAAACGTCATAGTATAGTAAGGCATAAAACGTCATAGTATAGTAAGGCATAAAACGTCATAGTATAGTAAGGCATAAAACGTCATAGTATAGTAAGGCATAAAACGTCATAGTATAGTAAGGCATAAAAAGTCATAGTATAGTAAAGCATAAAAAGTCTTAGTATAGTAAGGCATAAAAATTTTTTAAAAAGTCATAGTATAGTAAGGCATAAAAAGTAAAAAAAACGTCATAATATAGTAAGGCATAAAACGTAAAAACATAATATAGTATGGCATAAAATGTAAAAAAAAAAAAATATATATATATAGTATAGCGATGCATAAAAAGTCATAATATAGTAAGGCATAAAATGTCATAAAAACGTCATAGTGTAGTAAGGCATAAAAAGTCCTAGTATACTAAGGCATAAAAAGTCATGTAAACGTCACAGTATAGTAAGTCATCAAAAATGTAGTGTACTGATTAAAACAGTTTGTCACCTTCCATCTGAAAGTGGCTGGACAGTAAAAAAACCAAAGCACCAAACAGCAAATGACCACAGAGAAGCTGTAAACATCAAATGTTGGCATTTTATTGAAAAGTATAAACACTGGTGGAAAGCACCTACACAGCTGAACAGAACAACAGAACATGAGAAAGGCTGAATGTTGATGTGCAATTTAATGCATTAGATTGTTAAAGAGGTAGAAAGACATGGGTAAAAGATGTTCAGTGATAATACTGTTTGTTTTCTGACCATCAGTAGTTTATCACCAGAGGAGTGAAAGCTGTGAGCAGAGTAACACTAACATGTTGAGAAATGTTTGACAGTTCGTCAGAAGTTCAGTTTAAGCTGCTGAAACATTAAAATGTAAACAGTCACTGGATTATTCTTGTGTGTGGCGTCTCACATCTTTCAGTCTGTTCACACAAGATAAACCAGAGACTTTTCTAGGTGGATGGAACGGTTGAAAGTGTTGGCCTCCTCTCCAGGGGGGCGGAGGACGACGACGTGGAGGTTTGGGTTTGTTTTGTTTAGAAGCACTTGCGGTGGACGATGGCGGGGCCAGACTCGTCATACTCCTGCTTGCTGATCCACATCTGCTGGAAGGTGGAGAGGGAGGCCAGGATGGAGCCACCGATCCAGACCGAGTATTTCCTCTCTGGGGGAGCGATGATCTGCAGGAGAGAGGAGGGAAAGGTGAGATGGAAGCAGTGATGTGGGATATTTCAGATTTGAATTATTGGTAAATCTTTATTAAATTCACAAATACTGGACAGGTTTGATTTTATTCTAAGGTTGACAAAGCCTGAAACCTTAGCAGTATCAAAAGTTCTCCAGTAAAACAGATTAGCATTTAAAAACTGTCTTGAATTTAGAAAACTGAAAAGAATCTGCTTCATAGTGAGTTTTCATTTTGTAATTGTGATCAGGAGAATACCCGATAGATTTTAATGAAAAAAATCAGGAAGTAAAGTTTCAATCTCCCCATCTGGTTAAAAATACTGCCATAGCATATTGTTTCTGCAGGTAGAAAGCTATAAAATAGGTCAAGTGTTTTCATACACTGAAATGGGGAGTGATACATTCACTGTTGACTAATGTTTTTCTAAAGATTTTAAAAAAAAGGTCTACAGCTCAGACCCTTTAGAAAACGAATGACAAGTGTGTTTCACAGCAGAACTGATAAAGTCAGTCAGACTCAAACCTGCCAGCAGACTGAACTTTACCCTTAGGTAAAGGATTAGGTGACTGATTTGAGTTCACCTTCACTGACCTGCATGAATATAGAGACTGTACCTTTATTTTCATGGTGGGTGGGGCCAGCGCAGTGATCTCCTTCTGCATGCGGTCAGCGATGCCGGGGTACATGGTGGTGCCGCCGGATAGCACAGTGTTGGCGTACAGGTCCTTACGGATGTCCACGTCGCACTTCATGATGCTGTTGTACGTCGTCTCGTGGACGCCAGCCGACTCCATTCCTGAACACACACACACACACAGAACAAGAGTTTATTAAATGTTTGACTGAACTTCACGGACGGAAAAGACCGGAAACTCAAGTAGGGCGACATCTTGGTGGTACAGTCCTGCTGACCGAGGCGAGTTACAAACCGATGAATGACGGCTGGAAGAGCGTCTCGGGGCAGCGGAACCTCTCGTTGCCGATGGTGATGACCTGTCCGTCAGGCAGCTCGTAGCTCTTCTCCAGGGAGGAAGAGGAAGCCGCCGTCTGCATCTCCTGTTCAAAGTCCAGAGCCACGTAGCAGAGCTTCTCCTTGATGTCACGCACAATCTCACGCTCAGCTGGAGTTCAGAGGTTAAAGGTTTGCGTTAGAACGAGACAACAGGCTCCACAAATATTGAGACATTAAAAAGCTTCATCTGCTCAGACAGAGATTATAAATTGGACTAAATATCTTTAGAGGTAAAAGTCAGTGGTCTGTATTGTACCGGTGGTGGTGAAGCTGTAGCCTCTCTCCGTCAGGATCTTCATCAGGTAGTCTGTCAGGTCTCTGCCAGCGAGGTCCAGACGGAGGATGGCGTGAGGCAGAGCGTAGCCCTCGTAGATGGGCACAGTGTGGCTGACACCGTCACCGGAGTCCATCACAATACCTGTGAGACAAACAGCAGCCAGTTAGAAAAGAAACACCTTCAGCTTTCATGGTTCAACAAGAAGGCCAGCACAGAGATGTGTATGGCTGCAGTTCCTCTAAATGACCACTAGATGCTCCAAGAGGCTCAATTGCTTTTGAATCAGACCTGAGCTTCTTAGGAGATGGAAAGTTGTTTTTTTTTTGTTTTTTTTAAAAACAGGATCTAAAAAAAGCTGATTTGTGACAGTGTTTTAAGATCTTACAGCAGAGACATGAGTTTTCTCACCTGTGGTACGACCGGAGGCGTACAGTGACAGGACGGCCTGGATGGCCACGTACATGGCAGGACAGTTGAAGGTCTCGAACATGATCTGGACCAAAGACAAAGATACGTGTCACTGTGGAAGCCATGACAACTGCAAGAAAGTTAAACTGACAAAGACCAAACTGAAACTCAGTAGCTCATTTTATTGGGACGTAGTGTAGGTCAGGATACTGATCCATTAGTTGTAAGTAAAAAAAAAAAAAAAAAAAAATGCAGTAATACATTGAACAGGTCCAGAGCAGCTGACAAACTCAACTGGTTTTGAACTGATCAGTTTATGGTTTGGACTAATGGGTCTGAACACACCTGAGTCATCTTCTCCCTGTTGGCCTTGGGGTTCAGCGGCGCCTCGGTCAGCAGGACTGGATGCTCCTCGGGAGCGACTCGGAGCTCGTTGTAGAAGGTGTGATGCCAGATCTGCAGGACAGGACGGCCGGTTAGAGGATCAACTACAAGTCATAAAGCTGCTGGCTTCAGATTTACGATGAAGACAAATCAAGGATAAATTTGGTGTGTTCGTCGTCTGCTCATGTCCTGTATTCACTTTGCAGTTAAAAAGGACCAGTGTAGGATTTAGTGATCCTTTGGCAGAAATGGAATATTCATTTTCATAATTATGTTTTCATTAGTGTTAATCACCTGAAACTAACTGTTCATTAGCTACATATGGAGTGTTTTTTACATTAAGCTCAATCCCAATGTCTGCCCTCACAGCCTTGGAGGCGTGCCTTGGTAAGTGCACGAGGGCTTAGACCTTCATGCTCTCACTAGGTTCTTCAACATGCTTGTAAAAGGAGAGTTAAGAGGAAGGGTATTCAGCTGGTTGCAATCTGCACCCTCACCACTAGATGGCACTAAACCCTGACACTGATTTCACAGGGATGATTCAGCTCCGTTTCCTGTCTGAGCTCCAGGTGTGAACTCATGTAAACACAATGCTCAAGTCTTCACCTTCTCCATGTCGTCCCAGTTGGTGACGATCCCGTGCTCGATGGGGTACTTCAGGGTCAGGATGCCTCTCTTGCTCTGGGCCTCGTCTCCCACGTAGCTGTCCTTCTGTCCCATTCCCACCATCACACCCTGAAAACACACAACAGTCACATGATGCACTGCATTTAGTTTAATGTACCTGAGACAGAAGGTGACCTTCAGGTTTCTTACCTGGTGTCTGGGGCGACCGACGATGGATGGGAAGACGGCGCGGGGGGCGTCGTCTCCGGCGAAACCGGCCTTGCACATGCCAGAGCCGTTGTCAACAACGAGGGCAGCGATTTCATCTTCCATGTCTGAAAGGAAACAATTAGATTAAACATGCTGCTCCACACATTTACCCCTCGTCTCTAAACTGATGAACCACCTGCTCAAACTGAAAACCTCCTGATTACAATATTTATTAAAGAATCTACTTGGGAAAATCATGCAGTGTTAAATTTCAGTGTCAAACTAATTGTTTAACAAACCACTTTTTAAAACTGCATTTTGAATAAATATTTAATCATAATATTCAAATAAAGGATATCTAATAAGAAATAAATCAGGTTAGGACATTTAACCTTTTCCTCCGTTTATCATTAAAGTTTCCAGATTTGGAAACTTAAATATCAGGCGTGCGTCTTTAAAGTGACGCTTCATCCTTATTCATGAGTCTTGAGGTTGATGAAGCTTGAGTATCTCACCGACTTTAAAGAGAATAAAATAAGAGTAATGTGATGATGCCGTTTGCATCTTGCTGTTATTTCCTTTTTCTGAGACTGAAGAGTGGAATTAGTTTTTACTTCTGTCTGCTCCATCTTTTAAAATCATTTCTCATCCAGCAGCCCGCACAGGCAGCTGTTTGCCGGGCGCGGCAGCTCAAGTCATCCAACCAGATGTTCTTAAATTATGTGTCCTGAAGTCCAGTCGCTTCAGGACGATTTCAAAACCAGTTCAGGCAGAACACAAACCTCTCCTGGTTAAAATCCACAGGCTCCGAGCTGCGACTCTCCACGATACAACACACACCTTTATTATTTTATTTTATTTTATTTTTTTAAAGTAAACTCCAGCTGTTGAGAGAAGTTAATGAGGGAACTGAAATGTTTATGTTTCATGAAATTCAGGAGGTTTTATTTTGAAGAGGGGCTGAAACAGGAAGCAGACAGGAGCAGCCCTTCCCTCAGGACATTCAGATTCATCTGATATTTAGTTCATTCACTCAAACAGTAACTCAGCTGCAACCAAATAAATAAACACTTTGAACAAGAGTCAGTGAGGAAACAAACTGATTTAGAATAAATATCTATAATAATCTTAAAATAAAAACAGATTCCTTCCTAAATGTTTCTTTACTCCTGAACTAAAAACTGTATAAATTTGACTCAACCTCATTGGAGTTTTGTTTACTTTGATTTTAAAAGAAAAACTTGAACGATCTGGTCACAGATTTCCTTCTGTATATTTGTGTTTGTGCTGATTTCAGTTTCAGCTCCAGACTCAGATGGTTCAGTTCATCAGGATGAAAAATCCTGCTGCGGATTTTCAGATCAACATCTTCATACTTGCAGAGATCTTGTCAGGTAGTTTTTACCTGAACGTGCTGATCTCAAACCAGGTTACAGTTTACCTTCACCTGGTTATGTGATAAATATTATTATTATTATTATTATTATTATCTGTAACCCTGAAATAAAAAGATTTAACTTTAACCAGAAAGTTCAACCTTAAAAACTACTTTTCTGGACAATATGAGTTTTGTGGATGAACTTGCATCTTTTCTTTTACTGTTAAAAGGCTGAATCTTCCAGGATGAGAAAACCGCTGATGAAAAAGGTGAATAAAGCAGAGACCTCGCGCCCCCAGCTGCCGGTAACACACCTGAAGTGACTCAGTATCTGTGTCTGATAAAAACTCACCTGTAACGGTTTAGTTAGGTTTTAGTTTTGTGAGATTTCCGATAAAGACAACTTTATAATTAAAAAACACAGCTGCTTCTTACCTGTGCAGGTGAGTCTCGGGTGTGTCTGTCGGTGAGGTGAAGCGGGAGTCTTTCTGCCCCAGACTTGTTCAGTAAATGCAGCATCACGAGCCAAACCGCACCGGTTTTATTTGCGTTCGCGGGACTGGAGCTGGCGTTGACCATAAAAGGCAACGTTCCCTCAGCTCGCGCGCTGATTGGTCCAGGTGAGCATGATCCGCCATGTTGTCCAAACTCGCGTCCTGATTGGTTGGAGAAGGCATCTGTCAAGGGGGAGCGGGTACGCGGGATGAGAGCCTGACCCCCCCCCCCACAACCTGCAGGGTTCATACTGAAATCATGGATTCCACCTGAGCAGGAGGAGAGCTGTGATTGGTCCGTCACACCGGAAAGTTTTCAGCTGCTGGAGGAGAGAGAGATGACAGGAAATAAGAAATGAATCATTTCTACAGACGCTGTCACAAAGACAAACTCTCTTAGATTTCACAAACAGACTTCAGATAGACTCTGAATTCATCTGTCACACAAAGCAGTTTAGTTCTTGGAGTATGGTGCAATGAATTCTGGGTAAATTAAGACTTTTTTCAATATGGAGGAGCATCCAACCACTGAGCCTTCTCTTTGCTCCACACACAGAAATGTAATATGTGACATATATATCCCTATATATAATATGTAATTAATTAAGTTAGTATATATAATATAAGATGATATATTATTAATGCATATATACATCAAATATTCACACTGTGGGATTAAAAAGGTTTTATGTTGTTTTTGTTTGTTTGTTTACTCGTGTAAATCTCAGTCCCGTGTCTGAGAGTTCATTGATCGGTGTTTGTTTATCTTCAGTTTGAATGTGTCTGCGTGACGTTCGTCAGGTTCTTCGTCCTGCCTGAGACGATTTTATCTGATGTTACAACTTTAAAACTGTTTGTGTCGGTTTCAAGCTGCGAGTAAATCCTGAAAATCAGGACCAACAGTGTGGTTTCACCAGAGCTGAAGACAAGATTTAATGTCCTCTATTGTCTTCTATTGTCTTCTATTGTCTTCTGTTGTCGTCTATTGTCTTCTCTTCTTTTTGGAAACGACAGAAAAACAAATGTTGGACTGAATATGAATTTGATCTTGAACAAAAAAACTGACAAATAAAACCTGATCCATCACTTGATCCATCCATCATCCATCATCCATCCATCAATCATGTCATCATCTGATAAGCTCTGGCCTTCTTCATCCTCCTCCTCCTCCTCCTCCTCCTCCTCTGTGGCTCCTGAGTTTTGCTCCTCATGATGTTTGGATCCATCACAATGTGTTTTTAACTGAGGCCTGCAGAGGTAGAACATCTTCCTGATGCTGCATCTCTGTTCATTCTGTCCAACATCACGTCCGTCTGTCCTGGAAGAGGAATCTAAGGTTGTATATTTTTAATATTTCCCCCAGTTAAAGTTGTTTTTACTGGACGCGGGGTCGTCAAGTGTTCACAGATTAATCTGGCCCCTGATCTTTTCCTTTACCTTCGTCGCCTCTAAAGGTTTTTCTTCTTCTCTAAACAAAGTGACATCACCTCTGGTCACATCAGTGCACGTTTACTGTTTATGCTCTTTAACATATTAAACTGAAAAACTGAACATCACCTCTGTGTGGCTTTGTGTGTCAGCTGTTCCTGTTGTTGTGTCCACACCCTGAACCTGCACAGACGTGTTCATCTGTTGTTACAACTCGACCGCTCGTCTTCACCGAATCCTGGTGTTTGATGTTAAAAACACCATTTTGGTGTTTTTAACATCTAACTTCACATTCAGCCAATCATAAGGCAGGATTTCAGGGCTCTACCTGAACCTGCTTTTACAGATTTGAGGAGGCGGGCCTCACCAGGTGTGACCACACCCCGCAGCGTCATCAGACCACAGCTGCTCGTGTCTTGTCCTTGTATGGGCTTCAGTGCAGCTGAAATTCCACCAAACGACACTCCTGCTGTGGGGGGGGGGGGGGGGGGGGGGGGATCCAGTAAAGATTCAGAACAAAAAAAAGGTGGAGGAGGAGATTTTTAAACAAATCTGAAAATCTAAGTTTTACCTGTAGATGAGCAGAAACGCCATGAAGCTACTTTCCTTATATGGACTGAACTGCACCAGATGACAAGATGACACAGCTGCTGCAGATGTTTGACAGATCGACACAGTTTATATTTTACATCAAAACACGTTTAGCTGAAGGACGGAGGAACCAGAGATAAATAAAAACAATTAACTGATCAAATTCTACTGTTTTATATTCATACTCCATGACACTCAGTTGTTTTTACTTTGCACAGGGAAGTTTTTATAAATGTGATGAACTTTTAGTGGATTAAACTTCACCACCAACAAAGATTATTAAAACATTATATTATTTATACTATAAACATTCTGCATGAGGAGTACTTTTACTTTTGATACTTTAAGTACATTTTTCTGAAAGCTTTTATTTTTACATTAATTTTATGTTACAAAACAGGAAGTTTTCAATATTTAAAGTTAAAAGTGATATCTTCAGAGAAATGAGATCACTTCATGTAAAATCTGTCTCAGTTGTAGCTTTTCTAACCAGACTGAAGGTGTGAATGCTGCAGGTGAACTCTCAGCGCTGTGCAGCGTCTGACTGCAGTGAAGTGACAGCACCGGTTTGCCTCGGCATGCTGGTTTACATCCCTGACCCTGCAGTCGGGCACGGCCGACATTGTCCACATTCTCCGGCTGGTTCGGGCCTGTTCGTGGAGCCGGAGGAGTGTCGGCCGGCCTCCTGCACCGCACGCTCACCCTGAGACTGATTTACATGCAACAACTCTTGAGACCAAAAAAGGCGAGAAGACGAGGGAAACTTCCTGACTGGGTGGACGTCGCAGACTCTCTGGGAATCCTCTGCTCTTCCTGGGGATCTACATGCAGAGACTTGAACCCTGCAGCACAGAGACATCATGTCGGCCTTTATCTCTGTCACAGTTCCACTTCTAGTTTTGTGGCCTTGAACAGAAGATGAAGACACTGACTGACTGACAGGGATTAAATGCAGGTTTCAGGTTCTACAGGCTGATTTTAATGGAAATGAGCTGAAACTAACAGCAGCTGAGAGGGACGGAGCGAATTATTCAGAGATGGAAAACGTGTTTGAAAAGTGGTTTGGGGTTTTATTGTCACACAAAAAGAAGTAAATCGAGCTTCACAAGACTTTTTAAAACCTGCGTTACGAAGGGAATCATGTGCTGATCTGCAGATTATTTTCTCATTAATCATTTTGTCCATTAATGATGAAATAGTTGTAAAGTTTCCTCAAGACCAAGATAAAATCTTGTTCCTTTGTTTGAATCTAAAAAGTTTCTGTTAATTATCACATAAGAAAAAGGGAAAATTCTACAACCAGATTTTTGCCTCAAAAAGATTATCTTGTTTATCAATTATTATTTCTAATCGTGGTTTAAAATCAAAGAATTTTCTCTAAGTAGGTCGACATATGAAAAAAGGTCAAGAAACATACAAAGATCATGCCACAGAGAGTTTTAACATGATAAAATGACATATATTATTATATTATATATACATGTACATGTGTCTGTGACCGTGTTTATACCATGACACACTAACACAGGAAAACAAGCTTTGGAAATAAGAGACTAAAATCACGGCAGAGTTCAGATTCAACACTTCATAATTTAAAAACTATGAAATCATAAAGTAAAACTTTCAAACATCATCAGGGGAAAATATAAATATAAAGACCAGAGTGGTTTTACAAAAGCATGACCTGAATGAAACAAGTCTGATTATTGGGTCACTACAGTCGGATTATTGGGTCACTACAGTCTGATTATTGGGTCACTACAGTCTGATTACAGACCTTTAAAAGGTGCAAAGAATTTAAAAAAGAAAAAAATGAAAGAGACAATTGTTTTTTTCAAGTTTCCAAAGTTAACAAAATAAAATCTTAATCATGACGTTGAAAAGTCCTGAGATATTTTTTTCTGAACTATTTTTGCATCAATATCACAATGTAAAATGTACAAATACTCCATCACTGCAAGTCCTGTATTTAAAATCTTCACTCCTACAGAACAGGAAAGAAATTGAACGACCGTCAATCACATCAGTTTGTTTTTCTTCCTTTTTCTCTGAACGAGTCATTAAATGATTTTCATCTAAAGTCTGATTGTGTCCTCAGACAGATGCAGGTACAACGCTGGTGCAGGTGTTCACACTTCTGTTGCTGTGTAGAGTCAAGGTGATAATATCAATTAACCTTTAAATGTCATGTAGGACATCGACTACACTCCTCCAGCGCCCCCTGTAGGTGGAACATTACCTGTCTCTTAAAAAGAAAATAAACAACTCTCTGTAACATCACTGTACTATGAGTACAAGCTCATGACCTCGACTGTATACAGCAGTTTCTGTAGAATGCAATTTGAATTTATACTTTACTACTTCAGGTTTCAATTCCAGTTTTCAGATTTTTGTTCTCTCTAGTTGCTGAAGTCCATCCCATTTCAGTTTTTTCCTCAGTTTTCTCTCCTGCTTAATTTTAACTCTCCCCTCTTTCAGTCTTTTTAACATTGCTTTCATAACTTCTTCCAGATTCCCATGAAGCTCCTCTCTCTCCTCATCTCTTCTTCCTTCTCCCTCAGGATCCTCCCTGCTTCTTTCTGTATCGCTGCTTCAGCCTCTTGCAGCATCTCATTAGTGTAGCAGTTGCCTCCATTTTCCTTCACCATGGTGTCGATCTTGTTTATCAGCTGACTGACTTGTCTGTGGTTTTGTTCGTCATAGTTATTAAACACATGGTATCTTCCTCCACAGTCAGAGATCAGCTTCTTAAGGGAATCGTCACATATTTCAATGTACTCATCAATGGATAATTTGTCACGTTCCAGTGAATCTCCTCCAGTTAAAAGAATGATGGTGAACTTCTCAGAATTCTTCCCAAAACCTTCCTTAATGAGTTTCAGTGTCTCCTTCTCCTCTGTTGTGAGTCGTCCGATCTGTAACACCAACAGGAAGACATGTGGTCCTGGAGCCAGAAGACTGATGCACTTCACCATCTCCTCATTAACTTCTTCATGAGACAAGGTCGTGTCAAACAGACCAGGAGTGTCGACTACAACAACAGGACGACCGTCCACTTCACTCTGTGCTTTCTGACAAAACTTAGTGACTGATGTTTGACTTGATTTGGATTTAAACTCTTTTCTTCCCAGAATGGTGTTTCCTGTAGAGCTCTTTCCACTTCCAGTCTTTCCTATCAGCACGATCCTGAGACGCTCTGGACTCTGAGTCTCTTCATCACCTGTGAAATGTAATAAAAGTTTTAATTACTTTATGTTGACAGTTGCTACAGTAAAGACTCCAGATTATATAAGACATGATTTAGGACAGAGACTAAACTTTAAATACTTACACATGTTCTGTCTTTTGTTTTTAAACCTTTCAAGTTCCGCCTGTTGAGCAGTGATGTGTTTCTCTTGTTTTATGATCTTTTCTATTTGGGCATGTGCAAATGTTTCTGTTGTGTAGCAGCATGGTTTGTCCTTATTGTGTCTCATCTTGTCCACAGCCTCCAACAGTTCAGAGATCTGATGTTTGTCCTTGATGTTGACAACAACAGATCTTCCTCCACAGCTCTGAAGCAGCTCCTGGATGTCTCTGCTCTTTCTTATAAAGTCATCAACAGCTGGAGCTGCAGGATCTGACTCCACAGTGAACAGAATCATGGTGAAGTCATTGACTGGAGAGCTGAATGAGTTCTGGATGGTCTCTAACTCTCCCTTGTCTTCATCAGTGAGGGGACCCACAGCTAGGACCAGGATGAAGGCATGGACGCCCTCAGGATCACAGAGGGAGATACACCTGAACGATTCCTTCATCACTTCCTCCTGAGGTTTTCCATACAAGGCAGGAAGCTCCACCAGGGAAACCTGACGTCCTCTCACCTCTCCCTGATGTTTAACACACTCTGATGAGCTGGAGACTGAATGAAGCTCTGTCTGACCTAAAATGGCCTCGGCTGCTGAAGTCTTCCCTGCTCCTCTCCTCCCACACAGAACCAGGTTTAAAGCTGGTTTCATGTGTTCAGGCTCTTCAGAGAAGGTGAGGAAGGTTTCTTTGTTTTCACGCACAATGTTCTCAATCTTCTCCATCAACAGTTGGTGTTTATCTTCAAACATGTTGTAGAGTCTTCCTCCACAGTCTCGAAGCAGCTTGTTCACAGAGACACTCGTCTCATTCCAGTGATGACAGTATGTGGTGACGACCATCGAGTGTTTAAAAGCATCTGGACCAAACAGACTCAGGATGAACTTCAGTGTTCGTCTGTTCTCCTCAGTGAAATCAGAAGGTTTCACTAACAGCAGCAGAACATTTGGTCCAGGAGAACAAAGAGTCTCACACTTCTTCACCTCTTCTATCAGTGTCTCCACAGACAGACTGAACATGTCTGGAGCTTTCACCACTGTTAATGGTTTTCCTCTCCACTCTCCACTGGCAGCCTCACATTGTGTGTTTGGACAAAATCTTTGAAAATGAAAAGATTTTTCCGTCATGATGAAGTTACCAAGTGTCGTCATTTCTTCCTCCCTTTTCCCAAACAGCACAATCCTGAGTCCACGAGCTGTCAGACGACAGGAAATAAAATCAGTTCAATGTAGAAACTTCCTCATCATCATCGTTGAGAAAAGACAAGAGAACCAATATGAGATTCGATCTTATATTCAGAAACTATGAATGTTTGGAACATTTAAATTAGGGATGGGTTCTGATATCTAGATTCCAAGTTAAGCTGCAGCCAGTGAATTGATTATTGGATCCTTAATTGATGACGAGTCTTAGATTGTCTCTTTAAGTTTTTTCTGACACTAAAGGTAAAAGAGGACGTTTAACAGCTGCTAACTCAGCTACACAGTGGATAACAAGACTGACTGAACATGGCAGACCTCCTTAACCTGAAGTTCTCATTACATTGTCGTCAAAAGCTTTTCCTCACTTACCAACATTTCGAGCAGGATTCCAGTTCACAGGAACTGAGCTCTGTGGGTCCAGGTTTTGATGAAGCCGAGCTGCTACACTGTCAGATAAATCGCAGCTCACATGTTCTCCGTTGTTCACCCTCACAATTTCACCCAAGCGTGTTAACAGTTGCAGAAGTTCAAGGTTCTTCTGCTTCAAAGATCTGAATCTGCACATTTTGATCATGTGTTTTAAAGGTGGATGCTGCTCATACTTTTCTGAGGAACCTGGACTCTCCTCTCTGGGTGTTGTTATCAGAACCAGTGAGTGTTCGAACGATCGATCACCAAAGTTTTCTAGGACTGTTTGTAGTCTCAGTCTGTGTTCCTCAGTGAAGTCTTCAGGCTGTAGAACCAGCAGGAACACATGAGGTCCAGGATCAGAGAGACTCACACAGTTCTCTATCAACTCTGTCAGTTTGTCTTCAGAGATGTTCGGATGCAGCAGATCTGGGGTGTTGATGAGAACCGTTTCTTTCCATTTGCACCGTCCACTGACTCTCTGACAGCAGACTGGTGCTTTTTGAGTGTTGAACACAGCATCTCCCAGTATGAAGTTCCCCACTGAACTCCTCCCAGACCAGCTGTTCCCCAGCAGAACAACCCTCAGCTCAGACACTGAAATGAAAACACAAAGAGAGACACCGTCCACAAACATGAGCTGAGATCAGTATACACTCCTCTACAATCAAGATCAGGCTGAAAACTCTTTGATAAAGCTTATAGTTAGGGATGGCTGACTCTCTCTCTCTCTCTCTCTCTCTCTCTCTCTCTCCTCACCAAACCTGAGTCCAGTTCTGTTGGAGGTTAAAAGGGTTAAAAACAGCTTTATAATCTCATGATAAATGATGAAAATATGCAAAACAGCAGCAGGAGTGGAACAAAACAATCTTTCCATAAATCTTTCACAGGAAGAAACTTGTCAGTTGTGGTCTGAATCTCTAAAACAGTCAGAACCTGACTCAGTTCAGTTTAACTCACTGTCGGGGGGCAGTAGGTCATAGCTGCTTGTGCGCTCCCACGGCTTAGAGTCATCTTTCACTGTGAAAATGTAGAGGGATAAAAATGAGGCTACAGACAAGACTTAACAGCTGAATATTCAAGATCCCATACATGCTGTAATTCATGAATATAAAATGCCCAGAGCTTGTTGGCGTGGGGGTAAAACCACTTAGAGGGAGCTGAGGCGTCAAATATAACAATGAACCTGTGAGACATATTTTAATAGAATCTTTCTGTAATAACTTTATGACATTTGCAGCTTCTGTCGTCTAAAAGTCCAAGAGAACATGAGACCTACCAAAAATTAAACTAGCTGCAGAACCATCCTTGAAATAGTAAGTGAAGAAATGAAATCTGTGTCACACCAGTTCAGTCATACAGATCAAAAATTTAAATAAAACCAACAGCATTAAGCCAAAATTAATCCAATAATACTGAAGAACCAAATATCAAAATAACATTATAACAGCAATACATACTATACTCAATCCACATTAATGCACAAACTGCATAATTAAGAAGAAGAGACGACTTCTATGTCTATCAGTATAAGTCTACACTGTTCAGCTGCATTAGAACAATGTCTCAGTTCAGCCACTAGAGGGCACTACAGGCTTTCTGACATTACTTACCTGTGCATTGATTTAATGATTACTCTGCCTCCATGCAGCTTCAAATGCAGGTTAAAGGCAGTGTTCATGTAAATTACTCATTTCAATTAGAGGAAAATCACAATTTTTGAATTATATGGCTTTTAACTGCCATAAAATATATTTATGTTGTCATTTGATATTTTCTTATTTTGCACACATTATTTATATGATTTATTTTTAAGAATTTTGTTCTATTTGTATTGGCTGTATGCAGAACGTAGGAACTAAGTTTGCTCCTGTGTTGCACGGGGACAGTTTCCTTCAGAGGAACACATGTTGAAGGAAAGTTAGGCTGCGGTCGAAAAGTCTTTTTCTCCTGAAGGTTGAAACTGAGTGAAATGAGCTGAAGTATCTGAGCAGCAGCTTCATGATCAGAGCTGAGGAAAGGAGCTTCAGTGCTTCCTAACTTATCTCCTTCAGCAGAGGAAACGCTGGAGCTTCCTTTAGGAAAGGAAAGGAGAAATGTCGTCCCACAATTTCTTGCCGCAACAACATTTAAAGCGACGCACCGTTGTAGTTTCACCTCAGCAGACACACGTAAATGTAGAAACAAAGATGAAGTTTCTCCACTTAACAAATGTATAAAAATGTCAGGAAACTGTCGCTACTTACGTCTGAATATAATTTATTAAGATCTCGTGCTCAGTTCCTTTTTTCTATTTATTATTTCAATGACTTAACTTTCTCTACTTGTATTTTTCTTTCATCTTTTCTTATTCAACATTTCCGTCCTGTTTGTTTCTGTGGTTAGTGAAGGAGAATTCATCCTCCATGTGTTATAAATAAAGTTAGTTAAAGAAACACCCTCGTGTAAGTGCAGTCAGATTCCTGATTAACTCTCCTTCACATCTGTCATTCTTCTCTCCTCACCATGTTTTCTATCAAGGTCGAGGAGAAGTGGAGATTATTTAGACTTCTCCACCGCAGCCTTAGTTTTTATCTCTGGTAATGTTTAAGTTAAACGTGACGAACTGCCCGTTTTTAAGATTCATTTTCAGTCCATTCATTCCTTCTTGTTCATGTGCAGAATCGTTTCTGTAGTTTGTTGTAATTTACACGACTCGTTTAATTACTTTAAACAATGTTATGTATCTGATTAGTTCAACAGTGGTGGCGTCTGAGATGATGAAGTGCAGAAGATGAATAAATCCATCAGTGACAGCGAGTCGTGGCGTCATCTATTTCCTGGAAGGAGTGACACAGGTATCAAAGTCAGACTGGACTCACCAGGTGCTGCAGCCGCCATGACGTCACTCTGCTGGACGCAACAGAGACAAGAACCTGAATGAAGCGCACAGCTGCACAGTGTTCACTGAATGATGTTGAAGTGCACCTCAGAGAAACTCACCTACTGCTGCACCGTGACCTCTGACCTCTGAGGAGTCACCGCCGCTCCTGTAAGACGGCAGCAGCATCACAATCATCACAACACAAGCATGAACGCGTCACGACACACTGACACTGTAACGTGATAAATGTTTGACAGTCTGATGGACGATACCTGCATATCAGTGCTGAAGCTCTGCGAACACCAGAAAGAACACCTCAGCAGACGGAGGGGAGAGGCAGATAAACATAAAACTAGTTAGTTAGTTAGTTAACTGGTTAATTAGTTGTTCTGATTTGCAGTTAGCATCCTGCCTGCATTGTTTTGGTGGCTCTTATTTGCCCATAGCGCCTCCCTGAGGGTAAAAGCTCAAAGTGTGCTTTACTTTTATATTTAATTCACATTTAATCGTTAGTTGCATCTACAGCATCACTTTACTTTAACTAGCTTTACTAACTTTTCTCTGCAGTCTCAGTTTATTCCAAACATTCATGATGATTAATTACACACCAACATTAAGTTCAGTTGAGGTGGCATGATGACTCAGTGAAGTTTGTCGGTGTCTTGCTGGATAAAATAAATTCTTTGGATTTACCCTCAAGCCTCACAGCAACTCTGCAGAGAAAAGACGTGATTAAAACCAGTGTTGTGGAATAACTACTTACACATAATTAAACTACAAAATAAATATAATTGTAATCTGTTACAGTTACTGAAAAAACATTATAAAACATATCTGTGGATCTGAGGTTCAAACTTCATTCGTTAAATATTAACATGGAGAGGTCATTAGGTCGACACGTCTCTACGAGGCACTGACTAAATGAATGGTATAGAAAAATAATAAGTTACACAACAGATACTAAAACTATTAATACTGACACTACTGGGACATATATGCATGATGTAGTGAATGTGAAATATTTAAATAAAATGTAAGTGATCACATGGAGCTGAATGAGGAAATGATCGACAGGTAGGCCTCGATCACATTGCGGCTGTACGGTTTATATGAGTCTGATATAAAACATTCTCTGTTGAGAACGAGATGCAGAGAAAATGTTTCCGGCTGCGTCACACACCTGAACCTGAACCTGAACCTGAACGCGCGCTTTTACCTGAAGATTAAACAGAGTCGGTGTGTTTGTGTTTTCTGTCGAGTCTGAGAAAACTGTGTCCGGTTACTGTGATAATGACAAACTCAGATCGTGAACTCACCAAACGATCAATGATCAATCCATTCGTGCCCTCGCGCGGTGAAATGATCGGTGTTAAAGGTTAAAATCGGCTGATCGCTTCTATTGATCCATCCACAGAACCGATGCTAAATGGAGCAACTTTAATTATTTGATTTTAAATGCGTTTAATGATGAGCTGAACTTTTTCCTCTGTTCTACCGTCCAGGACGAAACTGAAAGTAACAACACCCAACTACTGACTATCACACCCGGAAATACCAAAATAAAATCATTAAAATACATTTAAAACAAAATAAACTAACATGAAAAACGTTGATGGATGATTGTAGATTGATTCCATGATTTAGTGATTATTTTGGACATCATCAGTCTTCTACTACTACTACTACTATTACTATTACTATTACTTCTACTACTACTACAAATTCTTCTACTTCAATCACTACTACTATTACTACCACTAATATTAATAATAATAATCATATTAATAATAGTAATAATAATGAATAGTAGTAGTAAACGTTAATCAAATTAATAGACCATGTTCATATCGGGTTTATAAAGAATTATTAATTCTGATAACTCTAATCACCAAGAATATTAAAAACAAATAACAATAATTAATAAAGATGTGTTTTAATACAGTGAAGCCGAATAAGAATTTACATGATTGAAATTAGATAGAGATATACTGTAGTAAGTGTATTTAAAACATATAATCACATGAATACACCTTCACCCACCTGAATATACTGTACATTGATGTTATCCATTGCATTGACTTTTACTTTTTTATTTATGTTGCACAATGATTTAGACCATAAATATTAAAACTGACTCACCCACTTACCTGCACTATTTATGCTCTCACATATCAATACATATATATAAACAATATCCATACTGTATACTATAATATTATACTGTATTTACTGTACATATGACCAAAAGTGCATAAACATATCCATCTCCATCTCTTTGTTCATACCCCTCACTGATATATATATGTATATACACATTGTATATCTCTACATATATGTACACTTTACCGCTTTTTGCATTTGGTTTCCTGGTTAGATGCTAAAATGCATTTCATTGTCAGTAAAGTTGAATCTTATCTAATAAAAGTAATACTTTTTTACATTGAAGAAAGTCAATGACGCACATTTCGGAAATAGCCAACCCACGAATTAATATGACGTATATGTTTTTGGTAAATACAAAATGCTGTGTATTATGTTAAATACCCATTCATATATCACTGAGGGTTTTATTATTACATGTTTCAGGTGTATAAACGCTACAAAGTCACTGCTGGTTGCCACAGTGTCATTCTTCACCGCACAATACACACGTTCCACAGTGAAAAAGGACAAAAATAGAGATGTTTAAATACACAGAAAACATTAAGGGACAAACCCAAAAAACAAACAAATAATTCACCATGTATTTAGTCCTGTGTTCATCTATTGTTTTGTATAAGCTACTTTTGTGTCAGAAAGTACAAAGCTGGTTTTGTTGATTTCTTTAAATTCCAGGTAGTTCACACGCCCCCTTTTCTTTTATACCATAGATTCTCAGTTCATATTCAGTTCATATTTTATCCACTGAAGAAGAATACATTATTCTACCTGTAGGATTGAAACACTGACTAGTTTTATTGTAGATTTTGAGGGGTATTCATCTGGACATAGTCTGAAACCTCACCACTAGATGGCACTAAATCCCACACACTGGAGCTTTGAGATCAGGTGAGAGTGGGGCTGATGTACTGTATATGCACATGATCCATTTGTATTGTAACTATTTCAAACTACAGACTGATAAAGGGCATCAAGACAAATCGATCATCAAACTCTCTGAGATGAAGATTTACATCTTTGCATCAAGCCCGTCTTTTGTTTCCGGTGACCGTACTTGTCATGTATATTTTGTTGCGGAGTGATTTGTTGTATAGTTGACCTAGCTCACTTGATATATACATGACTCATGTCAGTTAGCTAGGCTACAGTATTTTCTCCATTGTTTTATGGAGCTAGCTGCTATGTGTCATTTAAGCCATTTACACCGTTATTCTGTGACTGTTGCTGCATGGATGTCAGCCTACTTTGTGTCAGTGGTTATTAACATTATTAATTCTCTAATAAGGTGAAGTAGCTGACAATGATAAGTTGCTCATTTTGTTTCAGTTTTCAGATACAATGATGTCACTGGTTCTGATGATCTGTGTCGGAAGCTTTTACCTTCATTATAAAGTACCTGTGTTGTTGAACTATGGAAAAAAAATGTTAAAAGAAAAAAATCTGCTGTGTCCATGGAGGGTTTCTTTGTAGTCATGTTGCACCTCTTTGTGTTCATTTTGTGTCTGTTTAGACATTTTGAAGTTGTTTTACATGTTGCAGTCTGTAAACAGTCATTTTGGATTTCTTTGCAGTTGCTTTGCTTCTGTTTGAAGATGTTTTGAATGTCTTTGTTCTTGTTTTGTGTCTTTTTGTCATCATTTGCTGTTTGTAGTCAGTTTTCAGTAGTTTTGTTTCTCTTAGACCTTCATACAGGAAATGTTACGAGTCACTTCGAACAGGCTCCTGACCTTGGGCTTCCGGACCACAGCAGGCCCAGGTTCAGTGATCCATCCATGGCTACATCCAATTCTAATCAGGCATTTGGTATTTGTCTCACTTAACACAGGGCATCAGAATTTGCGACTCTACTGTGCTGTCGGGTCCTTTGAATTTCTTTCACCTCTTCTAACATAAAGAACACTTTCAGACTTTACATTGGTCACAGAATATGATTTAACACTGGATTATTTTATGGAACTTACTAATATTTCACTGGAACGCTAACATTATTATGTTGTTACCAGATCCCTGTTTGTGGAACTCACTCTCAGCCTGGAAGGTGGACCGCCAATGGGAGGAGGTGAGGTTGTATTTGATGGAGCTGTGGCAAAGTAGGCAACTGCGTGTGAGCAACCTCAGCAGAGAGCTTCTTCATTTCAACATTAACTAAAAAACAATATGGTTTCTGGGAAAAACTTGTAACTGAACTCTGAAGTCATGTAACATCAAGACAATCTTCACTAACAGAAACATCCCTTGTTATAGTCAGTCACATGATCTGCAAAAACGTATTTCACTGACACTTTCTAATGATGTCTGTGAAGCTGTTGACTTTGGACACAGTGAGATGAATAAACAGCCTGATTGTGATCATTCAAAACTGGAAACAGACTTGATTTCAAATGAGACATTATTATTGTTATTATACTGTTTAGCACTGAACAATTTTCACTTACACTGATCACCTGAACTGAATAAGATGGCTCTCACTGAACCGTTTCTCATTTCACTCTCTTTTCAGGATTTGATCAGCACCATAATTTTCCTGACTTTTCAACATGATGTCAAGGTAGAACTGTTAATCAACCTACACGCACCACAAGACAATTGTTGGTGAAGGAAGAGAGGAAAAATCATCCTCCCAAAAAACAAAGACAAATTAATACTTAATTAAACAGAAGTAAAACATTTACTTTTATCATTAGTATATATCCATAAGCAGAGCCTTAAAAGCAGTTACTGAGATAAATGTATTCAGTTTTAATGTTTTTTGTAACAAATTCAAATCATGAGCAGCAGCAAAATGGAGCGGCAACAGGTTAAAAGTTTTGTTGGATTTAGGGTCCTTTACTCTGATGTAAGAGGAAGGCTGCGTACCCTCAAATAGATAAAAAGTGCAGCCTGAATACAACTTACATTCAGGCAGTTTAACATTTACTCATTCAGTCAAGACTCAATGCAAGTTTTCAGGTTTCACACTTCAAGTTTTTCTGTGTGGCCTTAGAGACCCACACCTACCCTATGAGACATGATAAGGTGAAGCTTGATGGTAAGTCAGTGACCTGGCCGAGTGATGTCAGTTACAAATTAATATCTAGCTGAAGTTTGCTAAAGTTATCTTCTATTAGACACCATGTGCTACTGGTCATACCAGACAAAGATTGTAAGTAAGACAGAGATTGTTTTATTCCTTCTTCCAAATGTTACATACTGCCACAAAAACAGAACATATTCACAATAGACAAACATCAGTTCCATCCTACACATTAGCCTGGCAGCATTTGGAAAACTTGAATTAAAAAAGAAGACAAAAAATTGAAAAAAAGATTCTTCCGTTTATAAATAAAATAAAATCAATACATGGCACATGCTTAATTTTGTCCACCTGAGGAATTTTGCTGCCTTTTATTTTGTTAACATGAAATATTTGTCATGATACATACTATTTAGGGGTTAAAGGGAAAACAAGGAAATACCACTGTAAAGATATTATCTCTTTTGGTTCTTTACTGATTTCCTACATCCTGAATCAAAACCTGCACAAAAGCACAAATAAACAATAACATCTGAATTTACTTAACACATCCTCCAGCAGTTGAGGCCTGCTTTACTAACATGACATGTGTTCGAGCTATTTGTTATTTTTGTAATGTTTAATTACTAATTATTTTGTTATTTTTTGTTGTTTAGTTTTGCAGAGTACACCTTTAGTTTGCTTATAACATTTAGTATTATTTGAGTACTTATTAATGCTTTTATTTTGAAGGTACTGGGTAGCTGAGGTGGACTAGGTGAATCTACATATAGGGGTATGCAGGTATAGGTGAGGCAGGCACCTGGGAGGGTCATTGTTCTTTGTTTGTTTGCCAATGGAGAAATAAACCAAAGAAACTTCATTTTGCTTGGACAATGAATTTGTTTTTTCCTGCGTAAATTAATTCCCTAGGTGTCTCAGTGGCCCTTTGATTTGATTTTGTCTTATTTGAGGGTTTTGATATTTTTGATTTTTGATCATTGAATTGAGGACAAATAGCCATTACAACATGTCTATTTACACCTGTACAGTTTAGAAGTATAAGAACAAAATAATTTTCAGTAATGGACACAAAATTCAACACAGCTTACTTTAACTGTAACTGTGTGTTTGACATAAAGAACATCTTCTGTTCAGCCCCAGCAGAAATTTACAGTTTTTACTAATTAATTTAAAGCAAACTCACTATAGTATTTCTCGCTGAACTTGGACATTGGTTGAAAAGAGCAATAGAAGTATGTGGACTTAATAAGAACCATGAGTGTATATTAATAACAGGCCAATATTATACTTAATGTATCATTAAAATCAATCTGTTTAATGTTTTTATTCTTTGATACTAAAATCTAAGATAAAACGTGTCAGAGCTGAAACTTCTCTGCTGTTGTTGCATCTCATAAAATGCAACATTTTTCAACAGCTTTCTTCACATGTTCCTGTATCCAGTCATTGATTTCTTCCTCGTGTTTTGTCTTTAGAGAATCAGTTGCTTTTTTCTGATCTTCTGTGTTTTGAGTAGAAACTTTATCTTGTAACTTACTGATTTCTTCTTCTTGCCTTTGCTTCAATTTGTCAAATTCTTTCTTGTATCTTTCATCTATCATCAACTGTTCAATTACCATGTCTCTGTTCTTTTCTATTTTCATCATCATACTATCAAAGTCTTTTTTGTATTTCTGTTCAAAGTCATTGAATTCTTCAGCTTTCTTTCGGGCCTCTGATTCATGTTTCTTTTTAATGTTCTCAATTTCTCTGGTATGTTCTTCTATTAACAGTTTTCGCTGCGTTTCTTCCAGGTTTTTTCTCATCTGATCCTCTTTTATTCTTCGATTGTCATCTTCTTCCTTTGCCTTCTTGTACTCTTCTTGGAGTTTTTGAATTTTTTCTTTCTCCTCCTCTTCTCTCTTTTTATATTCTTCTTGACGGTTCGCCCACCATTCTTTTCTTTCATTCTCCCAAACTTCTCGTTGTTTTCTCATCTCTTCTCTACTCTGCTGCAGCTCTATGCCAGTCTTCTCCTTCGACTCTGATTCTGCTTTTATTTTTTGCTCCAAAGCTTGACGTTTTTGTTCCCACTCCTTTTCTTTACTTTCATCATCTTCTTTTCTCTTCTCCTCTTCTCTTTTTCTTTTCTCACGCTCCTTTTTGATGTTTTCTTCTTTTTCCTCAAGTTGTTTTTCTCTCTGTTTTCTCTCCTCTTTCATCTTTGCTTCCTGTTCCAACATTTTATTTTTCATTTCTTGCACTTGTTCCTCATGTTTTCTTTCAAGTTCCCTCTTCTCCCTCTGCATCTCTTCGTCTTTTGCTTTTAAAATCCTCTTCACCTCATGTTGTATGGCTGCCTCTGCTTCTTGGAGCAGCTCATTTGTGTAGTAGTTGCCGCCATTTTTCTTCATCATAGTTTCAACCATGGTCAATAGGTGAGTGACTTGTGCACGATTTTCCTGATTCTTATTATTAAGTAAATGGTATCTGCCTCCACAGTCATGAATCAGTTTTTTGACTGAGTCATCACAGTCATCTATGTAATCCTTAAATGATTCATCTTGGAAGTTGTCTCCTCCTGTGAATACGATGACTATGAATTCACTTGAATTCTTCCCAAAAAACTTCTTGATCAGTTTCACAGATTCTTTTTCTGCCTCATCAAAGCGACCAGTGTTCATCACCAGTAAGAACACATGAGGTCCAGGAGCCAACATGTTGATGCATTTCACAAGCTCCTCTTGAACATCTTCATTGGACAGAGTTGTATCGAACAAGCCGGGGGTGTCGACCACAACAACAGACCTCCCATCAATCTCTCCAGCTGCTTTCTGGCAAAACTTGGTTACTGACTTTTGGCTGCGTTTAGAAAGAAAATCATTTCTGCCTAAAATGGTGTTTCCAGTTGAACTCTTTCCGCTGCCAGTCTTCCCAATCAGCACCATCCTGAGAGGCTCTCTGCTCTGACTGTGATCTTCATCTTCCATCCCACTCCTCTGTTTCACTTTCTGTAATTCACCTTGGAGTCTTGTGACAGTCTCCATCTGAGCCCTGGTGAACATGTCCTTTGTGAAGCGTCTAGATCCTTCAGCTCTCATCTTGTCCACAGCCTCCAACAGCTCAGAGATCTGATGCTTGTTCTTGACATTGACAACAACATATCTTCCTCCACAGCTCTGAAGCAGCTCCTGGATGTCCTTGGTTTCCTTAACATCAACAACAGCTGGAGCTGCAGGATCTGACTCCACAGTGAACAGAATCATGGTGAAGTCATTGACTGGAGAGCTGAATGAGTTCTGGATGGTCTTTAACTCTCCCTTGTCTTCATCAGTGAGGGGACCCACAGGTAGGACCAGGATGAAGGCATGGACGCCCTCAGGATCACAGAGGAAGATACACCTGAACGATTCCTTCATCACTTCCTCCTGAGGTTTTCCATACAAGGCAGGAAGCTCCACCAGGGAAACCTGACGTCCTCTCACCTCTCCCTGATGTTTAACACACTCTGATGAGCTGGAGACTGAATGAAGCTCTGTCTGACCGAAAATGGCCTCGGCTGCTGAAGTCTTCCCTGCTCCTCTCCTCCCACACAGAACCAGGTTTAAAGCTGGTTTGGAACAGCTAGACACCATCATGAGATCAGCCTCTTCCATTAATGTCAGATATCCTCCCCTGTTGTTACTCACTATATTTTCCATCTTTTGAATCAACTCTTGGGGGTCATTTTTTTTATCCATTTTGTCAAAATTGATTCGGTGCTGCCTTTGTTTGCAGTCTTGGATGAGTTTTTTCACTGAGTTACTGTCTTCCTCATTATGCGTCACAATGACCATCGAGTGTTTAAAAGCATCTGGACCAAACAGACTCAGGATGAACTTCAGTGTTCGTCTGTTCTCCTCAGTGAAATCAGAAGGTTTCACTAACAGCAGCAGAACATTTGGTCCAGGAGAACAAAGAGTCTCACACTTCTTCACCTCTTCTATCAGTGTCTCCACAGACAGACTGAACATGTCTGGAGCTTTCACCACTGTTAATGGTTTTCCTCTCCACTCTCCACAGGAGGCCACACAGTGTTTGATTTGTTTTTGGGAATGAAAACCTTGGTCGTTGATGATGAAATTACCAAGTTTTGTCTTTTTGTCATCACTTTTCCCCAGCAACAAAATCCTTAGTGCAGATTCTGTAAAACAACAGAGACAAAGATAAAATGACATAAACTCACTAAAGGGCTTAAATCTACACACTTGTTTGTCTTTTCAGTCAGTCATCTATTAGTGTCAACATTCAGTTTGTTAAAATGTCATGGTATCAACAATTGACATGGATTTAAAATTTTTAAATGTACAAAAAGTAAATTCTTTCTCACAAAAAACAAAACTTAGATTTCAAAACAATGTGCCAGACCCACCATCACTTTTGTTTGGCTGCTATTCACTACTCTTTCTGAAATATTTGTGTAAGATCAGATTTTCTGGCTGATACAATCATGTGTCTCCAAACAACAATGTCTGAACAGATGTTCCACATTAAAAGAAAACCCACTTGTTACTTGACACATTGTCAGCCACCATGAAACACAAAAAGATCATTAAAGCTGCAACCAGAGCAGCCCTCGCACTCCTGTGCATCTCAGGAGGTGTCACCGCAGGCCAGTTAGAGCAGCTGTGCATTGTGGTGACCATTGGACACCACACTCATGGGTTATGATTTCCTGCACAGACAGCGTGGCAGTGGACAAGAAGTACTGCATGTTTATTTGCATTGTTAATTAATTGTGTCCACTGTGTGGAGCCAGAGACCATGCAACAAGCACACATTATGTTCCGGTATATCGAGTGTAGACCAGACAATGCACATGTCACGTAAATAAAAGGATTGTTACTCAAGAGTCACTTCCTGTTTTCAGTAGGTGGTACTGTGACAATGAGTTCATATTAGTATGCAGATGCCATCAAATGTGAAATTTGGGTCAGATTCAGTGGAGTCAATGGAATAAAAGCAACTTCTTGTTTCCAATTCCCTGTGCCACGAGAGCCACGCCCTTAAATAAAAACTCATGATATTCACAACCAAGAATTATCAGGTTCTGAAGTATTTTCTGACCAAGTTTGAGGTGGTTGTGGTGAACCTGTTAGGAGGAGTAGAACAACCTCTAAAAAGCTTCATAATTTCATATTACAAAAGTCTTAAGATTGTACTGACCAAATGTGGAGTTGATCTGATTAAATCTCTAGGAGGAGTTCATTAAAGTACAATGCTTGGAAATTACAGAAAAATACACCAAAATCGTACACTAAATTCAAAATGGCTGACTTCTGGTTGGGTTTATAGTATAGCTTAAAGAGGCTTTTTTGTAGATCGAAATAAACATCCCCACCACTTTTCATACATCTGGTTGCAACCTACAGCGGGGGCTACTTCGTTGACATTTTCTACAGGGCGCCCTTGACCAATTTTGCCACTCCCATACCGTTTACTGAGTTAAGCCACTTGTGATGTATGTGCAATGTTTCGTGAGTTTTCAAACACCTCTTTCCCAACAAAAATGCCTAAAGGAACTAGGGGGGCGCAATAGAGCCAACTGCCACAGCTATGCCCAAAGGCGATATCAGTTCATTAGTATAAACGTGTGCAGAGTTTTGTGAGTTTTTGCACATCCTAAAGGCCTCAAAAATGTGTCAGTAAAATGAAAATTGCTGCAATGGCTGACTTCCTGTACTGCAAAAATAATTTGTCCTTTTATGATGTGACCAATCATCCGTCTGAATTTCATGAATTTATGAGCACCTTTGTCCCCATATTTACTTCCAGAGAGTTTTCGAGCATGCTAAAGCCCTCAGCAATGCATTTTTCCAGCAAAATAATAATAATCTCAGCAGAAACAATAACTTCCTTGCACTTTCGGTTGGACCCTGGCACACTCCGTACTCGGGGCCTAATAAGAAACACTATAGTTTCAATAGGGTCCTCGCATCCTCTGTACTTCGATCCTGAAAAAGGAAGGTGACCACAGTAAACATGTAGAGGAGTAGGATAAGCAGAGGATCAATCTATTTTCCAAATAAGTTCCCAAAGGAGATTATAATGTGAAATGATTTTACTCTTTTCTGGTGTTTTACAGTGTGGAAGCCTGCATGAGAAAAATGCTATGCCTTGTTAACAGCTAGAGGCAAGGGTGAGCTGTTATATATACATACACACACACACACACACACACACACACACACACACACACACACACACACACACACTCATCCCTAAATTAAATGACTTAATAAATAAATAAAGAATGTGAACTCTATGTTATAGTTTAAGTACAAAGACATTTATGCATCTAGTGTTAATAAAATCAAACATTATTTAGATGGTGCTTTGTCTCTTTGTCTCTGACACCTCTTCCTGGATCCGTCACCACGCTGCAATGGCGGGGTTACACTTTATGTAAGAGTTGACAACTAAAGACACAGTGATTGAAACTGTGTCTCACAGAAACAGATTTTCTTCCCAGATTATAAACAGAAAGAATTTTGCTTTAAACATCAAAACACAAGTAAATCTTAGTTTTCTTGCAGATGTTTGATCAATTTCCGCTTTAGACAGCAGAACTAATTTACCGCCTTTACCCGAAGTGAACTCAGTTATTCACCTGAGCTTATCAATTATGAATAATTTGTGGATGTTTGCTTGAATCCTGGAGAGAAGATGCCACCAAATATTTATCAGCAAATAAATGTGATGTCTTTACTTACTGTAAGACAGAGGGTTTTTCTCACAGTGTGAGAGCTGTGGAGTCATTTGTTTAAACTCATGCAGCCCTGTGAATAGATGACAGAATTAATTTGCAGCTTTATGTTTTAATATAGTAAAGGAGGATTTGCCTGAACATTTTCATTCCCTTCTTATAACTGTTTCACTCACCAGCAGCTTTAACAGCATCTGTGATAGAAGTTGTTGTTCTCTGTTGTTTTGGGTTCTGATGATCACCTGGTAAAGTTTCTTCTGGTTCCTCAAATCTTTCATGACAAACATGTTCTCCATTGTTCTCCTTTGCAGTTTGACCCAACCGTGTTAACAGCTCTGCACGGTCCAGGTTCTTCTGCTTCAGGTTTCTGTATCTACATTTTATGATCATGTCTTTTAATGGTGAGTTTTCCATCAAACCTGAACTGTCCTCTCTGGGTGTTGATATCAGAACCAGTGAATGATCAAATGATCGATCACTGAAGAGTTGAAGGACTCTGCAGAGCTTCAGTTTCTGTTCCTCAGTGAAGTCTTCAGGCTGTAGAACCAGCAGGAACACATGAGGTCCAGGATCAGAGACATTCACACAGTCTTGTATAAACTCTGTCAGTTTGTGTTCAGAGATGTTGGGATCCAGCAGATCTGGGGTGTTGATGACAACTATTTTCTTCTCCTCCACTGGTCCACTGATTCTCACACAGCATTCAGGTGCTTTATTGAACTCAGTCTTTCCCAGTATGAGGTTCCCCACTGAACTCCTCTCTGACCAGCTGTTCCCCAGCAGAACAACCCTCAGCTCAGACACTGAAACGAAAAACAAAAGTCAGCTACGTGTATATTTAAGTCAAGAAGATGAACTCAAACCAGAGGTCAGTGACCTGTAAAATGAGTAAATCATAAAATATAATGTATTTGTTTGGGCTGGGATGATATGCACATCTCATTATATGACACTTAATATAAATTATTTGATACTACAATACTTAGAGTATTGTGATTTTTAATTATTACAATGTCAAAAGTATTGCAGTTCAATATTTCCATTTATTGCAGCTTTTGTTCACTTTTTTAACATCAGACGTGAAAAACTTGAATCCTAAAATAATGCACATCACATGTCAGTCAGTCTTTAAGAATGATAATACACAATTCAATCAAATGAATTACAACATGCACANCTATTTTCTTCTCCTCCACTGGTCCACTGATCTTCACACAGCATTCAGGTGCTTTATTGAACTCAGTCTTTCCCAGTATGAGGTTCCCCACTGAACTCCTCTCTGACCAGCTGTTCCCCAGCAGAACAACCCTCAGCTCAGACACTGAAACGAAAAACAAAAGTCAGCTACGTGTATATCTAAGTCAAGAAGATGAACTCAAACCAGAGGTCATTGACCTGTAAAATGTGTAGATTATAGAATATAATGTATTTGTTTGGGCTGGGACGATATGCTCATCTCTTTATATGACACTTAATATAAATTATTTGACACTACAATACTTGGGTGCTGATTCGACACGTATTGTGATTTTTAATTATTGTGATTTCACAAGTATTGCAGTTCAATATTTCCATTTATTGCAGCTTTTGTTCACTTTTTTTAACATCAGACGTGAAAAACTTGAATCCTAAAATAATGCACATCACATGTCAGTCAGTCTTTAAGAATGATAATACACAATTCAATCAAATGAATTACAACATGCACACACCCCACATATCCTTACATATAAATCAGG